ATGAACTTTAATCTTTATTTAAAAAATTTATTGAGTTATCCTAACCTAAATCCAAACCGAACCTGCAAATATTTGAATCAAACCCCCTAAAATTTTAAATCAAACAGAATCTAACTGAACCAAATGGTACTCAAATACCCATCCCTAATTAAATGTGAAAAATGTTATTGATAACAAAATATATATTTAAATACAACATTTTTTTTTAAAGCTCACTCCGCGCATGACACATATTATCATCTAGTACTTTATTATTTAATCGGAGTTTAGAATGTGATCCGACTAATGTTATGGATTGTCTATTACTAAACTATATATTGTGTAAACTGTTTGTGTAGGCTGAAGTTCTAACCCATATTGATGAAATAGCTATGTAAGAGTTTGTATTAATTTTGATGTACTTCATTGATGGGATCAAAACTTAAAACATGGATCCCATGGACCCAGAAACCTAGACCACGTGGTCACTTCATGCTCAAGTTATGTATCCGGTATCTTTCTGTCTACACCAGAAGAATAGCAAACAAATGCGAGAACCCGACGGAATACATGAAAATATGGATTCGATATGGGTTCTTTGATCACACATGACGTCTTGATTTAAAATGTTTGAGTTTAGAGCATCTCTTCTCCAAGATTTTACTTTAAGGGGAGTAAAACTTCAAAATAAAGATTTGAAGATCGGTTACTCCAACCATAAATCCTCAAAAAAATCTTCAAAAATTTATTCAATTGTATTAAAGTCCTTAATATTAACAAAAGTTATTAATAATGATAAAACTTCATAAATACATATAAACATACTTTTAATATATTATACAATGCATAATATTACAATATTATATAATAAAACCATAGATTTTACATATATAATAAAATAATATACATACACACAAATTTTAAAAATAAATCATATAAAATACCACTTGTAAGATAAATAATATTTAATTCTTTATGTAATTTTCTTAATTTATGTTAAGTTTTTTTAATGCATTTTTTTATTTTTTGTGAGTTTTATTTAATGTATTTTCCTATTTTTGTGAGTTTTATTTTAATGTAATGTAATATTTATTTTATTTTATTTTGATGTACTTACGTTATTCTAAATAAAGTTAGTTTATATATTTGTGAAAGAAAATAATAGTAAGGATTAAAAAGAAAATGAATAGTTATTTTGAGATTTTGAACAATGAAACCTCAAATTTGAGGTGTCACTATTCAGAACCTCAAAATTTGAGGATTTGAGCTTCGATTGAAATGACAAAAACCTCAAAATTTGAGGATTTGAGGTTGAGTTGGAGACATGGGTGGGCACAATTACCTGTTACTCGGTTTATATTCGTTACCCGTCCCGTATTTTCCCCGCAAATACAAGTACTTGTCATAATCAATGCAAGTAACAAGTCAAAATTTTAATTACTCGTAAATCCAAGTCAAGTATCAAGTCTTAGATTTATTTTAACTATTTGACTTGTTTCGACTCGTTACTTTATTTTCAAATATTTTATAACATTTATATTTTTATTTCAAATATACTTATGTAAAATATATTAATTACTAAAATTATATATACAGTATATGTATAAACAAGAGAGGAGTATATTCTTGCTGTAGGTAAAAAGGATTATAGTTTTTTATTTTCTAGCATATAGAACTAAATAATTTTCTTATTTTTAACCAAACTCTATTCTACATCATCTCACATTGGTTGTAATAGAGAAGTGAAAAAAAAATTGATATAAAATACTCTTAGGATCATCGAAATGAGATTTATTTTATAAAAGTCCAAAATACATAAATATTGCACATATATAAGCAAGTACAAGTCCAAGGAGTTACTTGCAAGTATCATAAATATAGACAAGTACTTGTTTGACCAATTACTTGATATTAGCAAGTACAGGTACAAGGTATTTTTTTTAATATTCGGGCGGGGCAAGTCGAGTTACAAATATAGAGAAAATCCCGGATACTTGCTCCGTGCCCAGCCCTAGTTGGAGATGTTCTTAGAGCATCTCTAACCCAACCTCAAATCCTCAAATTTTAAGGTTTTGTGCCATTCCAACCCAACTTCGAAACCTCAAAACTACTATTCATTTCTTTTTAGTCTTTTCAATTATATTTTTCACAAATATATTTACTAACTTTATTTAGAATACTTTAAATACACCAAAATAAAATTAAAAAGATAAATATTACATGACATTAAAATAAAGTTCACACAGTAGAAATATACAGTAAATATAACACAAAATAAAAATATATTAAACAAATCTACCACAAATTAAAACAAATTACATATCTTACAAGTGGTATCAAAATTTGATATTTTATACGTAACTTTCTAAATTTATCTGGAAGTGTATTATTTTATTATATATGTAATTTATATTATCTTTTATTATATAGTATTATAATATATTAAATGTATGTTTATATGTATTTGTGAAGTTTGATCATTATTAGTATTTTTTTGTTAATGTTAAGGAATACAATGCAAATTGATAAAAAAAATTAAGGGATTTTTTAAGGATTTATGGTTGGAGTAATCAATCCTCAAATCCTCATTTTGAAGTTTTATTCCCCTTAAAATAAGGTCTTAGGTTGGAGATGCTCTTAATATATCTAAAATAGAAAAACCTTTATAAAATAAAGAAGTATATCTAAAGTATGGCGGTGTCCGATTACTGAAAAGGGTTATTGTTTTAAATATGGAAAGTTGCAAAATTATAATTAATATAATATATTATTTGTTAAAGCTTTAAGAAATAAACAATACTCCCTCCATTCAAATTAGATGTCATTCTAGAGAAAAATTTTTGTTTCAAAATAAGTGTTATTTTATAGTTTTAATGCAAAATTTATTGATTTTAAATGTTATTCTATTTTTCATTGGTTGAAAAGTTGTTAGGTATATAGGTAATTGTGTTTTTATTTTGAAAATGTGTAAAATTAATTGTTTTCTTAATCTGTGTGTAAAAACCTAGAATGACTAACTAAATTGAAACGGATGGAGTATTCATTATGTGGATTTAAATTTGGACAATAACACAACAAACTATCCCCAACTTTGTGATCCAATTATTTCAAAGAAAAGAATACAATAGCTGAAAAGTTTACACGTGATGCTCAAACTCAGTCTTCCGATTGATTCGGTTCCGCGAGTTGGTTTTTGGGTTCATTATTTTATTAGGATTTGTTAAGTTTTTGTTAGCAAAAATTATATTCTTCAATTTATTCGTTCCTTTTATATCAAATAACATTTTACGTATTGTTTTAAGAAGTTTGTTGCAACATAACCTCTTTAATTATGCATTAACTTTGGGAAAAAATGTTGTTTTCAGCTTTCTGATTAATTAGAGACTTTTCTTGGGCTACGCCCAGTTTTTTCCTCCTATATTTTAATTTTATTTAGTTTATTATCGAGTGTATTTAACTATGTATTCTATACTTAAACTAAATAATCTATATAAACTATTAAAAATTGAATATTTTGCATTGTTTTTGGTGACCAAAATAATAAAATTATTAAAATTCATTTTTTCCTTTCAATATCAAAATACATATAAGTTAGTAACCAATTGAATAATTATTTTTTATTTCAAATTCAATTATTCTTTTAACTTGTTTATTTGAATTTTATGAATATATGGTTAAATTAACATATAATTCATTTTTAAGGTTAAAATCAACCAATATATTTTTAAATTTATTTATTGTTTATTATTTGGTGATAGTAAAATATATATGAAATCATTCTTAATTGTTAAGGGAATGATGAAATGAAGAACAATTGAAATCTAAAAGTGATGTATTTTAAAATACTCCTGAAATTATGTCAAATATTATTGTTTCTATGCAGCAAAACAAAATATAAGGAGGTGTTATTCAATGAGTGTTTTAAAATCAATTATTAATATTTTATAATCCATCAAAATTTAAAATTTTAAGAAAGTTTAAGTTGATAGATTCTAAAATCTATGCAGTATACCTTGGATTTTCAATTCATTCATTTGTTCATGGGAATCCATATGAAATGATTTGAAATCAATTCAAAGTACAAAGAATTTTAAAATCTTTAACAGTTGAATAACACTAGATTTTAAAAACTAAATTTAAATCATTCATTGAATAACACTAGATTTTAAAACATAATTTAGAATCATCATTTGAATAACAATGGATTGTATTTAGATTTAAATTTTATTAGAATACATGATTGAATAACACCACTTAATATTCTCTAAGAGTTATTTTTATGTTCCTTAGTTTAATCACTAAATGTTCAATTAATGGTTCTAACATTACATAACTGGTTAATGTAAATTAAATAAATACATTTGGTTCTAGCACTGTTTTATTTTTTCTTATATCTTTTTTTATTATTTTATAGTATATTCTATTTGAAGTAAAATATGTTAATTATATTATATTTTATTATGGACAAATTTTCTTAGGCTTTTATATTAATTTATGCTTATATAAAAGTTTGGTTATATGGAGTATACAATATATATATGCATATCAAAATTAAGATAAAGCCAATAGTATTTATAAATTAAAATCTATTGTTCTCTTGATGTGTAACTAAAGGTATATATTTAATTTTGCATTAACCAGCTTGTGCATCTTTATCATAATCTGACATTTGTGCCTGACGTAATTTGTTTTTTGGCTACAATTTATTTTTTCCCATAGTTTTGATTGGTAAATATTACTCCAAAAATGATTATTCCGTCAACAAAATTTTATAATCTTGTAAGCTGGAGTTATAGATGACTTTTATAAATTCTTAAAAATGAGAAGAAAAAAATGAAGTTGTATATGTTAGTCAATGAGAACTTGAAAGAACAAATATATATGGTCAATCTACGTATAGCCTTCCCAAATATGTTACACTATATACGCAAGTATAGAAAATTACTATTGGATAGCTCATTTTACCTAAGCATAACCTTTGCATTTCCTTATAATCTTCATTTAATTTCAGTCACTTGTCACGGGACAAACACTTTCGTCATGAGTAATTTAAATAAACCCAGTATCTATAAAGTTTTCTTTTGTTTTATGAGTTTTTAACTATCAAAAAGAAGTTACATGAGTTGAAAAACAAAGCATGAAATGAACCCATTATTTAAATATGCTATTTGAACTTGTTTGTTTGTAATCACTATTTGAAATTTTTGGTATCTTTTACAGATAGATATCTCCAGAGGCAAGAACTTAGGGTTTTGGTTTGTGTTTCTTCTTCGCCAGCCAATGACCCAGCAGGCCTTTCAGTGTTTCACGACCTAGGTTAATCTACAAATCACACAATCCAATGAAAAAAAATCAATTTATTTTGACCAGGCTAGATCATATAAGACTCCAAGTTGTTCAATTATGATAAGCAGATTCATATGTAACTGCATGCAAAGATCCATTTACGCTGTATAACAGTAAGATAAAAGTTTCTGGTCATCTTAAACATAAGTAAAGATGCAGGCATCTATTCTACCTTATCATCTTCAGGTCGTCCGGAAACTTTGAGGTCTGCTAAATACATCTCAGCAGTGAAGCATTGTGGAGTCTCCAAATGTAAAGATAAGCATCCAAGTTGTGTGTCCATAGTAAACCATGATGGATTGCTTACCTGAAAACGCAGAGATGAACAATGAAATCTGCTAGTCTCGCTAAAGAAAACGAATCATAATCTATGAAAATAAACCAAGCTGCTTAACATTTCAAACAATTCTTCTTTCTTCTCTTCAAACGATATCTGCAAACATGGAAACATATAGTTTCAGGATTACGGCAGCATGTACATATAAAATATCAGAAACTCAAATAAGAGGCCTAATATCCACAGAGACCTTACCATAGTCCTCTATCACAACCCTTTGTTATATCCCATAGTTTCACTGAGTCACCTGCGTCTTGCAAAGAGAAAAAACACCAGATATAATCGACCCCTTCATAAGTCTATCCACGATAGTCTTACCAGAGAATTATGAGAAACTTATTTCACCTTAGTTAAGATTTACCTTTTATTATTCAAATTATCATGCTGCACAATCGGGTGGCTTCTTAGAATAGTTATTAACGGTTCCTTATAGGCAGGATGCTGCATACAAGCAAAAAAAATTAGACACTGACTCAAAAAGGTTTAAGAGAAACATTTAAAGGAAGATATTATTACTTTTCTTACTGGATTTAGTCCTTCCAAGGACACTCTCACCCTATTGAAAGAAAAATTCCCAGCCAAGAAAGAGCCACCGCGTTCAAATTCCTTTTCAGGACTCTTTACTTCGGCAGGCCATCTCTCTACAAAGGATTCTATTGTTGTAACCCATATACTATCACTTAAATCGGTTTTTGTCCCTGATTTAAGTTGCACACCTTCCAAAAAGAAGAATTTGCTAAATAAACGAACACAAACACAAAAAAAAATCATAAAAATCAGACACCAACAAACCTCTTTCAAAACATCGGACCTATTAATCGCACACTTACAGCATTCATGTCGACACCCTCAAGATTAGGGCTGCAGCCAGTAAACTCACTCCAATCTTGACCAGTCGCTCCATATCCTGAAACATTAATAAAAAGAAAAACTTGTTAAGAATTGGTGACAAACTTGTGAAGTAAATAAGTAATGATTCTAGATCTTTACCATAATAAAAGGGCTGCTGGTAGGCATTTGGAACATAACAAACAAAAGGATCCGCAGCATCACTGGGAAGCAATGGTGTCAATGAACTTGACATTAGTGTATGCTTTAAGATAGAATAATCGTATATAGCTATACGATTATAGTAATCTAAAAAATTGTATGTAAATCACAAAGAACAGCACCAATGCCCTGACAGTCATGGCAAACACCTGGTTTCTTGTCTAAAGCGGCTGTGTTTTGTACAGAGACAAAGGTATAAGCATTGGTAATTAAAGCTGGAGATAAGCACGCACACGTCATCATCCACTGTCTCCGTGACATCGATTTCTGATCCCCCTTCAGGCCAAGAACACAAACCAGCTTAGAAGACTCTGAGATAAGCACTTTGAATACACAAGTATACAATTTCAACTACAGCTAGCTCAGCTCCCAATTTACAGTGACCAGTAACATTCAAAGACACATACTAATGTTGATTAAGCAATTTGAACAGTAAAGACTAAAACTTGAAACATCTTCTTAGCATCAGTGGAAGCCAATAATAGGATAGCTTGAACCTGGGTTTCGTTGGTGGTCTCCGGTGAAGAATCTGGATCGTTGGATTTGAAGCTCTGATTGTCTGGGCATGATTTGGCGAGGATACGAACTCGGTTCCGGTTTGGTGCGGCTAAAATGAACTCTATACGCAAAACAAAAAAGACATCATATTCCAAATATCCTGCAAAAACAAAGAAGATAAATACAAAACAATATGATTTAGATTTAAAATAACTCAACATTAGTGTATGCTCAATAAACTTATGGAAGTTAACAATAACGTACCATTTAACTAATGTTAATTGCAAACCAACGACCTCTCCCGGTCAAGCTACTTGGATCCAACCAATTAGATTGAGTTCTGCAAATCAAAGAAATTCTTTACCATAATAGTTGCTTTCGTTGGTGTTTTCATCCTTAACATGGCCAAATATTGGGTTGAATCAGCTCTCTTACTCCCCTTTATTTGTTGTCGAACAGAAAGATCTCTCACCTATATTCATGAATAAGCACTATAGAAGTCTTTTAAAAGTTTTTGATGTTATCAGATGGCTGTCGGTTGAGAATAAGATACGATGAAGAAGAACACAAAAGGAGAGAAGGGAAGGATTCATCGCTCGTTCATCTTTTTAGAGTTTCCTCTTGATGGGCCAAATAAACAAACCAAACGAATCCGATAAAAGAGTCCAATATTACCCAAATTAGATATGATGTGGCGAAAAACTAATTTTCTACTGGCTGATTTTCTACCTTATATTTCCCTTTTATTTATAGTAGATCTGAATGTATATACATAAAATATAGGATATTAATGTATTTACATAAATTTGAGTTCTGTACAAAAACTTTTAAAAGAGCTTTATTTATTCTTATATGGGGGTTACAAAAAAAGAAAAGATGATTCCTTTTTTTTTTATAACACTTGAAAAAAGATGATTCCTATGATATTCTTCTTGTCCCCACTCAATGCATAAGGCCTGGACTGATGCTAATATCGATGAACTTTTTTTTACAAAAGTAAAATCAATAGCCTTAACTTACACGATCTCTCTGATCCAGAGCATAAATCATCCGGTGAAATCACATTTGGTGGTAATGCATATATAGTACTTTACATTCATTTCTTTTGGCATTGTTTGAATGGTTACAATGGATCAGAGAAAATGTAAAGCAAGCAGAAAACTAGGGTTAGAAGATATTTTTTTTTTATTTGACCAAAAAAAAAGAAGATATATTTTTATTTTTCATATTAAATTTTTTAGTTATTATGTGTAAATATAATTTACAGTTCTTTTGATGATGATAGTATTTGTTGGATTTTTTACTTTTATTTATATAACTCTTACCAAAAATATATTAAATAAATGTATTGTTAAATATAATTATTTTTAAAATGTGAAAGTATTAACAATGAAATGTTTATGATAATAACATTGACTAATACTCATGTGCAGTTAACTTGATAAAATTATGTTTACCAATCGTTAATGCACTGAATTAGTTTACGAAATTTTAATGTGATTAATTTATATCATATGGTATTAGATAAAACATAAAAGACGTGTAGTAGATAAATCGGTTTCTATTTTTGAATTATTATTCAGTTAGGGTGAGCTGGGTTGTGGCTTTGTTTTTTGTGTTATTCTTTTTTTGCATTTTTCACAAATATATGTATTTTAAAATTCAAAATATTTGATTAAATCTTTAAAAAAAAACAAATTGTTTAAAGCATCCCAAATATATTGGACTGCCACCGTGTTAGTGTAGATTCCCAAATGATTTTTACAAGTTTATCAACTATCATACATTAATAAGTTTTCAAATTTTGAGAACTGTAAACAACTAACTTATCTAACTTTGTGAATGGTCAGCTAAGAGAAAATATAATTTTGGAGAGAGGTCTACAACAAGGAGATCTTCTGTCTCTTTTCATTTTTACTCTATGCACGGAAATGCTCGTTAGCCTTCTAAATCATGCAGAGAATCAAAGCAAGATAACGGGGATATGCATCACGCGGGTGTGTCCTTTAGTATCTCACCTTCTCTTTGCTGATGATAGCCTGTTCTTTTGCAAAGCGGAACCCCGTGAATGTGAAGAAGTAATGAAAGTGGTAAGAAAATATGGACAAACTTCAGGACAATGCATTAATTTCGACAAATCATCTCTACTCTTTGATAAGAGAATTGGAAAGGATGTCAGACAAGAGATTAAAGACACATTTGGGATTCAGAATAAAGGCGGGATGGAAACATACTTAGGAATCACAGAGGATATCAGTGGATCTAAATGCAAGCTTTTCGCTTTTTTAAAGGATAAGCTAAGGAACATGGTAAATGGATGGACGGGAAGGTGGTTATCAAAAGGTGGCAAGGAAGTTATCATTAAGTCGATCCTGCTTGCACTCCCAACGTATGTAATGTTTTGCTTTCTGCTTCCATTAGAGATATGTGATGCTCTAGCTAGTGCCATTGCACAGTTCTGGTGGAGTTTGAACCCCCCAAAAAGAGGTATTCACTGGTCAACATGGGATAAATTATGCTTATCCAAGGAGGAAGGAAGGATTGAATTCAGAATGATTCATGAGTTTAACCTGACATTGCTAGCAAAGCAGCTATGGAGATTGGTTCAATACCCAGATTCACTGGTAGCTCGAGTCTTGAGAAGCCGATATTATCGTTTGAGCTCGCCTTTGCGACAACTTAATGTCAGTAGACCATGGTATGTGTGGACAAGCATATCGGCGGCAAGAGAATTACTACTGTTGGGACTTAGACAGAAAATACATTCGGGTTATGAGGTAAGAGTATAGGAGGATCCAGGGATTCCTACCATTCCAGCGAGACCAGCGTCCCCATCTGCACCGGTCTTGCATCCAAACATGAGAGTGAGCGACCTTATAAATCAAGGAACAAAGTCTAGGGATCTAGACCAGCTGGAGAACTACGTAGATGCGGCTGATATACCACTCATAAGGAGTATGGCCATTAGTACAACACACCGCAGTGATACGTATTGCTGGAGCTATACAAGTAACGGGCAGTATACAGTTAAATCTGGATATTGGGTTGCACGAAATATACTGAGGAAGGAGGAGGAAGCAATAGTTTATGAACCGAGTATAACGAAACTCCAAGCACATGATTAGAAGGTTAAGGTACCCCAGAAGATGTGCCATCTTATGTGGCAAATAGTAACAGGCCACATGGCAGTTACAAGTACTTTGAACTATCGACACATGAGATGTGATAATTATTGTCCATGATGTAAAGAACCAGAAGAGACATTTTTTCATGCAATCTTTCAATGCCCAACTGTAAGGCAAGTTTGGGCCTTATCATCTACGCCCACCAGTCCAACCTTGTTCCCATGACAGAGCACATTCGCGAATATGGATTATCTCTTCTGGAGGAAAATGCCATAATGGAACCAGAAATGGAAAGAGATTCTTATCCATGGCTAATTTGGTATATTTGGAAGGCTCGAAACGATAAACTATTCAGAGGAATTGATAGAGACCCATAGGAGTTAGCCCGTTATGCTGAGAGTGAGTGCCAAGCCAATGAACATGTTATATTGCCAGATCAAGGAAACATAGATGTTGAAACCCAGACCATAAGCCTGGGAAATTTATGTTTGGTAGACGACTTTTGGACCTCTACAGATCAGTTCAGTGGATGTGGTTGGGTTTGGAAGGACAGTATGGGTAATTACTAGTTAATGGGCATGCAGAACTTTATTAGTGTGGAGTCTGCTTTGCACTCTGAGTTGGAAGCGCTGCGGTGGGCAATGGAGAATATGCTTCAACATTCACCATGTTAGAGCTTTGGGACGGACTGCAAGGAAATGATAGCGATGCTCAGGAACCCTCATAACTGGCCAAGCTTCTCAACGGAGTTGGAAAAACTCGTGACGCTCCGGATATGTTTCCTAGATTTCAAAATCTTGTATGTTCTTAGGACGCAGAATGGTGTGTCAGACTCTCTAGCTAAAATTACACACTCCTTTTATCGAAAATTGTTATATGTTTGTTGTTCTATTCCGGTTTGACTTCTCGGACCACCTCAAACTTGAGTAATAGGTCATCTAACTTCGTGTCGATATGCCTCGAGTATTTTACAAAATCGTGCAGTTATTCCACATTCCTATTTTTTTTCTTCTTTTTTTCTTTGAAAAACAAGCTTTCTATTTAAATGCAGATCTATGACGAATCTCATACAATTTTCGAAGAACAGTAGAGATAAGCAAGAGTTTAAGTCTAGAGCAAATCAAGTTCTTAAGAGTAAAAGGTTTGGAAACTCAAGTGCATGATGTACCGCAAACAATCTTTTGTGTGTGTTTTCAGATTCTCCGGAACCAAAGCATCACTATCTACAACCATAGTTCTACACAAACGCAACAAAAATTCAATGAATGTGAAGAAAAATAAAATTCTTGAAAGAAAAGGAAGAATAAGTGAAGGTCAAAATCGTAATTAAACCACAATAGAAGACTAAAATCTATATTATAATAGTTAACTTCTAAGGCTCCTAAAGCTGTCCAAGTCAACAGTTTGTGGGCCCCATAGATATTTTTTAAACAGTCATAGTCTTGGTAAGATGTTCATAAACAATGAAATACACTTTAGCCAAGTGGTATAAGGTGTGGTATAAGGTGTCTAATTAATTATGCAAGATCGTGGGTTCAAACCACACAGCTATCATGTACTTTTTGATATTTTTTATTTGGGTTATTATCATATGGGCTTTTTGTTTATAAGGTTTTTATGTTAATTTTGCGCTTATTGTTTTAAAGATCAAAATAGTTGGATAAACCCTAAATTTTAACAAATTCAAATCCAAAATAATTAAAAATGAATCCAAAACGAACAATAAAAAAAAAGCAAGTCTCACGCGGTTGACCACGCGGATGGCTTAAAGAACCTTAAAACTATCGTATTATAATATAGCTCAACCCAAAAATAATAAAAAATAAATCCAAAAACGAACAAACCAAAAAAAAAAAGTGAATTCCATGCGGGTGCCTACGTGGATGGCTTAATGAGACTTGAATAATATAGATTAGGAGCTCAAAAAGTTAAATCATTGCACATATTTCCTAATATATATTTTCAAAAAAATTGTATGTGAGATAAAATAAAAAAACAACAAAAATTAATTATTTTCGTTATTTCTTAAATGAATATGTAATTTCTCTTACATTTTAATAACTACTATAATTTCATTGAAAACATTCCTCACCACCGATTCCAGACTCCGGCGAATGGATTCCCACAGTGGATGACGCCGTAGATAAAAATACCACATCATTTATGAACAAAACTCAAACTTACAAAAACCATATATAAAAATCTATCTAATGAAACTTAAACAACGAATATTAACTTAATTAAAGTTATTTCAAATTGATAAATCGTTTAATACAAATATAAATACTATAAATGTAGAATTATATCAAGTTTTGATCTACGATATAAAAACTATTTACAGCAAAAAAAAACAGCTACTTTTACACACTAAAAACTATATCATAGCTTAACTATTCCTATAAACCTTACTTCGCATATAAATAACATTTAACACATTCCTAATATTTTTCAAAAAAATTGTATGTGAAATAAAATAAAATAAACAACAAAATTTAAGTATTTTTCCTTATTTATTAAATGAATATGTAATTTCTCTTACATTTTAATAACTACTATAATTTCATTGAAAACATTTCTCACCACCGACTCCAGACTTCGGCGAATGGATTCCCACAGTCGATAATTTCGTAGATAAAAATGCCACATCATTTATGAACAAAACCCAAACTTACAAAAAAACCATATATAAAAGTCTATCTAATGAAACTTAAACAACGAATATTAACTTAATTAAGGTTTTTTTCAAATTGATGAATCGTTTAATACAAGTATAAATACTATAAATATAGAATTATATCAAGTTTTGACATACGATATAAAAACATGAAATTTTCCATTTCATTATTATTTGGTGTCATTAGAAGAATCCACTAAACCAACAATTAAAAAAAATACACGCAAACATAATGATCCTGGCTCCGCGCTTGCGCGGGGAGTGTGCAACTAGTATAAAGAGTTTCCCAACTGTCACATGACCCATCTTTGAAAAAAACCCAATCTTTCGCTTCTTTCTTCAGACACACTCTCTCTCATCAACATGAAACCTCTGTCACCGTCATTACCGTTACTCCTCCTCCTCCTCTCATCCACTACCTTCGCCGCTCCTTCCCTCTCCCCAACTCCTTCTCCAACCATCTCCCCCACTCCCCACACCTCCTCTTCCCCACTAGACCCAAAACACCTCAAAGCCCTGGAATCCCTCAACATCCCCACCTCCAAAAACCCCTGCGACCACCACCGCCCCTCCTCCACCGTCGTCGTCACCTGCGACACCAGCTCCCCCTTCCGCCTCGTCACTTCCCTCTCCTTCACAAACTGCTCCACCTCCCTCTCTATCTCCTCCGCATCACTCAAATCCCTCTCCCCTTCCCTCACCTCCCTCTCTTTCCTCAACTGCCCTTCTCTCTCCCCTCCGCCACGTCTCCCAAACTCCCTCCACTCCTTCTCCGCCACCTCCTCCTTCCGCAAACCCCTCTCCGGCGTCTACCTAGCTCGCCTCGTCAACCTCACCGACCTCACCGTCTCCTCCTCCTCCGTCTCCACCTCTGGCCTCTTCGTAATCCTCGGAAACATGGACAAGATCGTCTCCCTGACCATCTCACACGCGAATCTCTCCGGGAACATCCCTAAGTCACTCCACTCGAATCTCACTTTCATCGACTTATCACACAATCTCATCAAAGGCTCAATCCCCACTTCCATTACACAACTCTCTAACCTTAAATCTCTAAACTTATCATCAAACTCGATCTCCGGGGAGATACCCGACAGCATCGGGGACCTTATCTCACTAAAGAATCTCTCTTTATCCTCAAACAAACTCTCCGGACCAATCCCAGATTCGATCTCGTCCATTCCAGACCTTACCCACTTAGATCTGAGCGGGAACCAGCTAAACGGCACCGTTCCGAGGTTCATCTCCAATATGAAGAGTCTCAAGCATTTGAATCTCGCTAACAATGACTTCCGTGGAGTTCTTCCGTTCAATGCGAGCTTCTTGAAGAGGCTTGAAGTGTTTAAAGTGGGAGGGAACAGTGATCTTTGTTACAACCACACTGTGTTGTCTTCGAAGAAGATGAAGTTGGGGATTGCTATGTGTGATAAACATGGTCTGCCTTTGTCTCCCCCGCCGCAGAAGGAGGATTCGAGTTCTGATTATGATTATGGTAGTGAAGATGAGACTAGTGTGAAGAAGAAGGAAGAGAGTCATGGTCCTAATAAGGTTGTGCTTGGTGTTGCTATTGGACTTGCTTCGCTTGTGTTCTTGATCATTTTCTTGATCCTTTGCGCCAAATGGTGTGGTTGATTCCGACAACGAAAGCTGTAAGAAAGAAGATGATTCTTTGGTGAATAAACCGGACCGGTTCTCCGCATTAATCCCGGTTTAGTCTATTCTTTATTTGCTATTTTACGTTTGAGTGGGTATCATTAGTAGTTTCTTAATTAGTCTCTGGTTTCTTTTCAGATTTTGTTGTAATTTTTTTGAGTGTATGCGTTAAAAAGGATTATTTTGTAATAATTATTGAATTATTCTTATGAATTATTTTCTACAACAAACGTTTGTTCATCATTGGTTGTGTACTTCTGTTTATGTAATACTGCACATGCGGTTGAACATGGTTTAGTTGACCAAAACAAATTTGAACTTGTCATTAGTTCATATCTTCACCAGATTATTAATGATTGAAAATGATAGTTTAATAAAAACATTGACTAAATATAAAAGTGAGTAAATAAAATAACGTGGTTATGTTTTCCGTTGAAGCAATGCTACTATCATGGAAGACATATAGATCCAGCCTGTTCATGTTCACTATTGCTTCGATTTTCAACGATTTCATCAGGTCCGTACCAACCGTAAACAAGGCTGGTACGAATTGTTTAATACATGAAACATTTCAATGGTCACCAGAAACTTTTGCAAGAACAATGTCCATCTTTAAAAAGATGTAACCGGTTTGAATCTCTTAGAACAATATGTCAATATCTCCTCTAGTTAGCTTTAGACATGAACTTGGCCATTTCATGACAATCTCCACACACACTCTTGACTCTTAGCTACCATATCCAGCTACCAGCTTACCATCACTGTCAAAGAAACAAGAACCTTGGAAGTAATGTCATCAAAAAGCTAACGTGCGAGTAACAACGCTCCACATTTCGTGTACATGTCTCTCTGCCTTTGTTAAAATCAGAAAGTCTTGCACATGCCGGAAGAACAAATCACAGTGAATGTAAGAACTAGAGTTAGAACTTGATAAAGATAACCTCCAAAATATTGTTCATATCTCAAAGGGGTACATTAGGGATTCTAAACCAACTGCAGTCAAAAAAGATCACAACAACAAGATACCCTTATCATCCAGAATTGTAAATGTATGACCTCGAAACAGATCTAACACCACAAAGCAAAATAATAAAAAAAGACATTTCAACCAGTGATGTTCTGAGACTTGTTGAGTGATGCAGCACAAACCGTGATCATTACGGATCACGTCTGAACCGACATCATCACCATCTTTCCTTTTTATGTGTTTGATTTCTTTCCTTTTCTATCTATTGCAATACTTATTAGGATAAGGACTTTTACAATACTTTTAGGTTTAGGAATCGTTTAGCTCCTATATAAGGAGGACGCCTTCAAGCTTTGTAGACACAATTCAATTAATAAAGATTTCAGTTTTATAAAGAGTTCTAAAACGAACACTGCAAAGAGTATTCGTAACCCTAAAGAGTTCTAACGAACACTGCGAAGAGTATTCACGCCTTTTCTACCGTTACTTTGCCGACAACTAAGGTTTATAGCTTCCGCTCTCTATCATTGAGGATAACACCTTCATAATTAACTTGGAACCACTCTATGTTGAATCCCAACGCGAGCCTTGCACCTACGTCGACGGGCAACACGGTACCCCGGGCGTTCAAGAACAACATAGAAGTCCATTCTATAGATACCAGTAGAAGGATCGTACCTAAGAAAGAAACAATCACAAAACAATGAGGAGTCATTCCTCTGTTTCAAAGACCCTCAAAATAAAAGAAAAAACACTTACTTGATTCCAAGATCAATGTGTTCCTGGATACCAAAGCAGCCAGTGTCACTGAAGTTCCTCCTCAACAACTCGTACTCCTTGTTTGAGGTGAAAATGGTTTGAACAATGTAAAGAGAGATGAGGGCGAACAAAGACGTTTTATTAGATCTAAACGAAGTGTTTACAAAGAGAAGAGTACAAGGGCGGACTAGCCGGAAATACGATTCAGCGGGTAAACGGAAGGTGACTAAACCGTCAAGTGAGTAAACAGGGTAAGCGGCTAAGTAGGATGATGAGTNTTGTTCCTATTGGGCTTGTTTAGCGTATCCGGGTAAACCGTCTTTTCCTTAACCCTCTGGGACGCTCTTCGTTATGCTTCTAAACGCGCCGTCATGCCAAGCCGCTTCCAGTAAGGTTAATGGGCCGAATATGCTATTGTGTTGGGCTAAATTCTCCCATTCGATGGGCCTTGCGGAGGAGTGTAATCCATCTCCCACAATAAGTCCCCCCAGTTCACTTTATGAGCTCAAAAGACTCTTAAGTGAATTTGTAGACTGGTTTGATCGAATGGTGAATCTAGCACGAACACGCGTTAAGTCGGATGTCTCTTGACGCATTTAGGCGTCGGCATGGTATGTTTAGTCGCGCGGGTAGACTGCTGCTTGACGCGTTTAGCCGTCGACTCAGCGTGTCTAGCCGCGCGGCTATGTCGTTAGCTAAGGCGCGGTTAGGCGGTCACCTGAGCGTGTTTAGTCGCGCGGGTGGGACGCCGCTTGACGCGTTTAGCCGTCGACTCAGCGTGTCTAGCCGCGCGGCTATGTCGTTAGCTAAGGCGCGGTTAGGCAGTCACTTGAGTGTGTTTAGTCGCACGGCTGGGATGTCCCCTTGACGCGTTTAGACGTCGACTAGAGCATGTCTAGTCGCGCGGCTAAGACATCCGTCGACTCGGCGCGTCTAGTCGCACGACTAGACTTCCTATTCACGTGTTTAGCTGTCGACTCGGGCGTGTCTAATTGCACGGCTAGACTGCCTCTTGACGCGTTTAGCCGTCGACTCGGGCATGTCTAGTCGCACGGCTAGACTGCCTCTTGACGTGTTTAGCCGTCGACTCGGGCGTGTCTAGTCGTGCGGCTAAGACATGCACGGATGAACGTGTCTATGCGATCACCTAGAGTGGATCTAGTCGCGCGGCTGGAAAGTTTCTGGTTAGCGCGTTTAGGCGATCACCTTAAATGGATCTAGTCGCGCGGCTGGAAGGCTTCTGGTTGGCATGTTTAGATGATCTCCTCAGGCGCGACTAATCTCTTGGTCAAGGAGTCATTCTTCAACATGTTCGGTGATCACCCTGATGCTTGTTTAGTATCATGGTCAAGTAGTTGCTCATGGAATAGCTGTTTAATCTCGACTACTTCTTGGTTAATGCCCCGGTTTAATCTCGGTCGAGTAAACCGGTTTTGACGGGCTAATCAAACCGATCCGGTGTGAGATTGAGAAGTTTCGGATAATCTTCTGGGTTTAGAAAACTAATGGGCTTATTTAGGCCCATTTAAGTGCATTAATTGCACTTAGGGAATCGCGCCTTGGACTTTGCTATAAATAGGTAGTTTCTCTCCTTCTTTCATTATTCTTCTCTGCAAATCCAGGTACTTTCTTCTNATTAATTGCACTTAGGGAATCGCGCCTTGGACTTTGCTATAAATAGGTAGTTTCTCTCCTTCTTTCATTATTCTTCTCTGCAAATCCAGGTACTTTCTTCTCTCCCTTCTCTCTACCTTTCGCTTTCTCTCTCTAAGTGTTCTTCGTCCCTCGTCTCGTAATTTCTGTTTCGGGATATGGTTTCCTCGGGACGGTTGTCGCGTGAGGAAAAGGGCAAAGGGTTAGCCAGTGCGACCGATCGGGCTGATGATGTCGTTGAGAGTGGAAGTCCGATAGAGGATTTTAACCTGATTCATCGTGACGCCTTGCGAAGGGAAAGGCTAGAGCCGCATAGAGATTCGGTCGCGGAATCGGGGAGTGAGGGTAGCGATTCGAATCATGCATGCAGCGGTTCTAGTCGGAAGGACACCGACGGTTCTGGCTCCGACGAAGATGGTGAAGACTCGACGTCTCCAGATCAGAGTCCTCGAACTTTGTGGCTAAGGCATCGGCTGGTTAGGTTCGATCTGATCGAATGCAGGCCAACCGTTTATCGTCCCGATGGCACGTTCGAAGAGTTAGAAGCTCTTCCCCCGGAGTCGCTACGAGATCCTTGGGCTGAAGGTCAACAACTTTGGACGAACGTCTTCGGGACCCGGTCTAGTCATGGATCCGTGAGAAGCGTTCTGAGACATGCTGGTGGAGTAGGCGTGACGTACGTGATTCCTTCTCAGGAACAGAGGCCTTGGTCCCCTCCGGCTGGTTTCCAATGTCTCTACGAATCGTACTTTGAGGACGACGCGAAGCTTTGGTTTCCGGTTCCGCGTTTGATTTCGGCGTATACGAGGAGGAGGGGAGTAGCGATCAGCCAGTTGAAGATAGGATCGATCCGGAATGCTGTCATGCTGATGGTGATGGCTGCGGAGATCGATGTTCCAATGAGTGTGAGGGTATTTGAAGAGTTGACGTCGACGAAGGCGGAAAAGGGAGGCTTGTTCTCAGTGAAGATGCGTCCGAGTTACAATGTCTTGACCGGTAAGCCTGACAAGACGGCGAACTGGCAACGTTCCTATTTCTACGTCAAAGCGGACAAATACGCGTTCGCAGAGGCTATCGAGGATGACTTTCCGGTGTTGTGGGACAAAGAGATTGGTAGAGAACTAGCATTGTGTTGCTTACTATGTTCATCGGTCGTTTAACCTTGTCTTTTTATCTTTGCAGCTCGTCATCCGAATACGATTGCGTATCCAGAGAAGTTCTTCGAGATTGCACAAGATATCGCCACCCAGAGTCACCTGAATTGGCCGGATCTGAGTCGCGAGTGGATTCGTCGACAACAGGCTCGTATAGCAAGAGGTAGTCTTTTTTCTTCAACTGTCGAATTCTGGTTGATTATCGTTTTCCTTTATCTCTTTCTTTTTTTACTTTGCAGTTGACTGGGAATCGAGGCAGCCGCTGATAGTTTCTGCACGCAAGTCCCGGTTGTCTCTGTTTACCAGGAAACAACAAAAGCTCCTCCGACAGGCGAGAGAGATGTCAGGGAGACCAGACTTGAGCTCTTTGCTTAAAGGGAAACTCCAACTGCTGAGGAAGACGGTTTCTAGGGTTACTCCGGCTGGAGAGGTTGACGCTGAAGCTTCCCAGCAGGTTAATCCTAACCCGACTGAGCAGGTTGATCCCAACCCAACCGAGCAGCCTGCTGACGTTGATCCGCCGGCTCCTGAAGCGAGAAAGAAGAAGAAGAAGAAGGAATCTACGACTAAGGCAGCGCGGTCGTCGTCTGAGACTACTCCTCTCGAAGGGCGTTCGGATGGTTTGGAGGTTGGTGAGAAGGAGAAGAGGAAGAGGTCGCGCGAGAGTTCTGTCGATGGCGGCCTCGCCGGGAATGATCCTGAAGAGAAAGGTTCGGGGGAGGGTTCGAAGAAGAAGAAGAAGAAGAAGGTTGCTAAGGAGATTTCGCGACCTGAGAGCCCCAGACCCTGTCCCGGAAATGCTGAGATGACGGTGAGCGCCGGTGATGGGACTGAAGCACGTAACCGATCGGTAGACCCTTCTTCAGTTGCTGTTCTTGAGAAGAAGAAATCTCCAATCGGAGGGAGCCTATCGGAAGGTTCGCTCGGCAAGAGGCCCCAGGTTGAGTTTGCGGATCGCGTGAACTTCTCTTATGAAGGAAGGACCCCCTTGATACACAACCCAGGCCCGTGCGCGGAGCTTACTCGACAGATCCGAGGTGGACCGGTTGAGATGCCTCCAGTTGGAGGTCTTTTCTTCAAGGACGATTACACGGAGGCCGCGCTTCAACACAGACGGGTATGTATTCTTATTGATGCTTTGGCGATTTCAGTCGCGTCTTTATTCTACTTAAGACTGATATCTTTGCATTCATTTTCAGGCTGATGCGAGTTTGAACGTACTTGTCGAAAAGTACGATAGGACCTTAAGACAGACGATGGTCCAGCTTGGTAATGCGGAGAAGCTTTCCAGTGTTAGGCTCGGCATCATCGAGCGGATCAAGGCTGAGAACAAGAAGGATAAAGAGATCCTTCGCGAGAAGTTTGAGGGATTTGAGAGAATACTCAAGGCTGACCGTGCAGCTAAGAAGTTACTCACGCGGGAGAAGGCGAGTCTCGAGAAGGCCAACGCTGCTCTGGAGCAGGAGAAAGCCGAACTTGAAGCGGAAAGGGATGCCGTGACACGGAAGCTGGTTGACGAAAGGAAACGCCTGCGGGAGTCTCGAAGTCAGGAGGTCACACGCGAGAGGGTGCGTGTTGAGGCAGCTATGACTGACAAAGTCAACCGCTGTATCGATCGCGTTAAGGCTTACCTTGAGCGTCGCAGCCTTTGCGATGTGGAGCAGAGCTTGTTGGATCAAGCTTCCGGGACAAAGAAATGCCTAGAGATGATCTTAGAAGAGAAGGTTGGTATCACGCAGGAACTGATCGACATCTTCGGTGCTCAGGAGTTGGAGCATGAAGCCAATGTTGCTAAGCTGAAGGTGACGCCTTTATCAGATGCTGATCTAGTCCTCTCGCCGCTGATTCTGCCTTCCAGGTTCGTGAACGAAGAATTCGCGGCTGCACTCGATCCGTACGGGTCGAATGATGACCTAGTTAGGTCAGAGACGGCATCACAACTTCGGATATCTTCCGAAGCTCCAGGGAACGAGTCAACCGGTCAGTCTCGGGAAGTTCCACTTGACGTGGTTCCGTCGCCGAAGGGGGGCGAAGATAGGGTGGAAGATGCTGAACCGGCAAAAGGGGAAGAGAAGTCGGGATCGGCTGAGAAGCTTGTTTCCGTTGAAGATGGAGAAGTCGTGAAGGACCTGGAACCGGAGTCGGCCGCTACCTTCGAGGATGGAGGAATCGCGAAGGACTTGGAAACCGAGTCGGCTGCTACCGTGGCTAAGGAT